TGCAAAGCAAGCGCTCTACTACTGAGCTACAACCCCAGCCCAACTTTGTCAATTTTTGATGTAAAATATGTCTCAAGCCAGCATGGTGACACACACTTATACTCCCAGTGACTGTAAGAGGTTGAGGTAGGAGGAGAGCAAGTTTGAGTCCACCCTAAAAAATTGATCAAGACCCTGTCTCAAATAAAATATACTGTTTGTTTGTTTGTTTTGGTACTAGGGATTGAATCCAGGAGACCTTAACCATTGAACCATATTCCTAGCTCTTTTTATTTTGAAATAGGGTCTAAGTTTCTTAGGATCTTGCTTAGTTGCCATTTGAATTGCTATACTTTGAATTGCTATTCTTCTGCCTTGGCCTCCCCAATTGCTGGGATTATAGTTGTATACCACCATGCTTGGCTGTCAGTACATTTTTTTTTTTTTTAATGGACAGGTTATGTAGCTCAGTGGCAAAGTGCTTGTCTTGCATATGTGATACTCTTGGTTTAATCCCCAGTGCAAACAAATAAAACATTTCAGTGGGTTTTTTTTGTTGTTGTTGTTTTTGTTTTGTGTGTGGTGCTGGGGAGTGAAGCAAGCACTGTACCACTGAGCTGCACCCCCAACCTTCCTGATATTTTACCTAAAATTTCATTGAATGTTTTTCTGTTTTATTAATTGATATTCTAATTAAATATTTAATAATAATCTATTGCTGGTCACTTTTGCTATTTGGAAATTTCAAGACTAAATTCTTGCCATAAGTTATTTAAACTCCTTATTTCTTAGTTATTGCTGACTCCCATGCATTTGCCTCCCCACTCAGAATATGAAAATTGTAGGTATCAAAATCTTGGCATATAATTTTTGGACATTATAAGATTCTGATCAAGATTTAATTAACAACAGAAGATTTTGTTGGTTTTATTTATTTATTTAATTTTATGTGGTGCTGAGGATTGAACCCAGGGCCTTAGGTATTGATAGGTGAGTTCTATGACACGGAGCTACAGCACCAATCCCTCTTGTCTGTTTTTTTGGCTTCATTTGAGTCTATCCTCAAATATACTTCACTCTTTAAGAATTACAGAATAATTGGGCTCATCAGTAAGGTTTTACCTTATTGGAACATTTGGAATTGCAGTAGCTGTTTTCTTCTAATGGTTGATAAATTTTTATTCTGATATTAACAATTTCTCAGGAAATCTAGTTAATATAATGAAATCTTATTCGTAGGACAGGACATTATCTATTTTCATATTACATTTAAACCTCACTTTATTTTGGCTTTATTAATTTGGAACTATGTGTTAATATGTGCTGAGAGGATTTGTTCATATTTTAGGAAGAATATTTAAACTATGAGAGTGGCTTCCAGATACCCTTGTATAAGAGTACTTATTTACTTATAAAAAATATGTTGTAGGTTACTATTAAAAGAGATCATACATCATTTATTTCACTGCAAAACTTAAAGTTTAGAAATTTAGAAAGATTGCCACAACTGCTAATTCTGTATTTTTAGCCAGCTATTTTATGACCTGTTTTTTTCTTGAATAAATTCTTGAGACAAGTATATTTTAGGTCATTGACAAAACCTTCTGCACTTGTTTTTGAGGTAGTGATGGAGGAAAGCAAAAAAGCAAGCTTTTAGGAAGATCTTCATTTTGTGGTTAAAAATAATATTTGGGATTTGTTTGAGGTACACATTTTTTCACTTTTATACTCTTCCATAGTTTTAATGAACATACAGTATTTTATTAGCTATGATTCAGGAAATAGATCTATCACTGAGTATGCTCATAAAGAAGTGAGTTAAAATATTTATTCATTTGGCTAGGCATGTTGGTGCACAACTATAATCCCAGCTATTTGGGAGGCTGAGGCAGGAGAATTGCAAGTTCAAGACTATCCTGAAAAATTTAGTGAGACTCAAAATTAGAAAAAAAATAGTGGAGGAGGGGAGCTGGGGTATAACTCAGTGGTAGAGTGCTTATCTAGCATGAGTTCAATCCCCAGTCCACAATAAAATAAAATAAAATATTTTAAAATTGTGTATTTGTTGGTCTCACTTCTAAAATCAGTATACAGGTTGTTGTTTACCATTTCTTGTGTTTGAAGCAAGATAGGGTAGCAGTTGCTATTTGGAAATTTCAAGACTAAATTCTCAAAACATCTGTTTGCGGATAACTAGGATTATAGAATATATTTCTAATATCCTTACCTTAATCACCCCACCTCCTGATGCTGGGGTTGAACTCAGAAGCCTCACACTTGCTAAGCATAGTCTCTACCTTTGAGCTAGATTCCCAGTCCCCTTGGTTTTGTATTTTGATAGCTTTATAGTAGGATGACTACATTACCCAAAGAGAATAGATAGGCCTTAATTTATTTAAGAAGCATTGTTAGGTGTACATGGAATTTTTTGATTGGTCTGAAACAGAAAGTTCCACTTTAGGATATAAATTTAGTTAATTTAAATATCAGATTTTTATTTTTTCCCTTGCAGTACTGGGAATTGAACTCAGGCCTGTGCACAACCAAACAGGTACTCTACTACTTAGCCATATCATCAGCCTTAAATATCAAATCTTAATTTTGAAACATCTTGATTAAGTATTGTATTATGACAGTTAAAAATCTAAATATTTTGGGTCATGCAGTCTTAGAGAAAATAAATTCTGACATTGTAGTACAAAAGCAGTCAAAGAATACATAAATAAGAATGACTATGTTTCAGAAAAATCTTTGTTTAGAAAAACAATAGGCTACAATTTGCCAATGAATTTCAGTTTTAAAATATGCTGTGTATGGGAGGTCTCTATTTTCTGCTCAAAATCTGCTAAAAAAAATCTTAATTAAAAAAAAATATATCAGTAAAAATAATTTAGGGGGTTGCGGTTGTGGCTCAGTGGTAAAGTATTTGCCTAGCATGCATGAGGCTCTAGGTTTGATCCTCAGCACCACATAAAAAAATAAAAATAAAGATATTGTATTCACCTAAAATTAAAAAATGAATATTTAAAAAAATTTAGAATGAAATAATGATCAAAACCTTCATGAGGAGCCAGGGTTGTAGCTCAGTGGTAGATTTCTTACCTAGCACATGGGGGGAAATGGGTTTGATTCTCAGCACCACATATAAATAAGTAAAATAAAGATCCATTGACAACTAAAAAATATTTTTTAAAACAACCTTCATGATATCTCTTCATTTCACTAAGTGATAAATCCAGTAGATAACTAAATTATAAGTATCATCTGTCATATATGCTCTCAGAGGATCTCATGACAGGTTCCCCCCGCCCCCTTGGTATCAGAGATTGAACTCAGGGGCACTTAACCACTGAGCCACATCCCCACCCCTATTTTGTATTTTATTTAGAGACAGGGTCTCACTGAATTTAGCATTTCACCGTTGTTGAGGCTGGCTTTTAACTCACTGACCCCCTGCCTCAGCCTCCCAAGCCACTAGGAGTACAGGCGTGTGCCACCATATCTGGCCACCATTTGGTTTTATAGGGATCACTTATACAACTTATTTTACTCATTGATTAAAGCAAAAAAAAATTGTGACATGTCATTAATACATTTGATAACATAAATCTAGAACACCTCAGAGAATTGTTGGAGAAATTGTTGATGTAACTGATTTCCTTGGTTAAGTAGAAAATTCCTGAGGAATTTTTGATTGCCTTGCTTTCATCTTCCTATCATTGATATAGTAATTATTTTATTGGTGTTTCCCTCCTGTAGTATATATTTTCTCCTGTGAATATAACAGAATGTTTGTGTCAGTTAAAATATTTACAATCATTGAGTGTAATATCCATGTACTGCATCTAACAACTTATTTGAAAAATTATTTTAGACAGGTGCTATTGAATTAGCTTGACTGCATTTTCTGGGGTTCAGCTTAACCATAATAAATGTATATCCTTTTAATCTTTTATTGTGAAACAATACAGAAAAGCACATCAGATTCCATGAATTATTATAGTTATTAATTAATTGATTAATGAGTTATTATAAAGAAAACATCAGTGGAACTACCATAACAAGTTAAGAAACAACATGGCCAGCACCCCAGAAGTCTCTCTTCCTTTCTCCAACTATATAACTCCTTCTTTTCCCCCAGGAATAACTATAAATCCTGATTTTTATAGTATCCATTTTCTTACTTTTCTTTATAGTTTTACCACTTATGTGGCAAAACAATATAGTGTAATTTTGTCAGTTGTTGAACTTTACTTTTTTGAAGATTTTTTAAAAATATTTTTAGTTGTAGAAGGACACATACCTATATTTAATTAATTATTTATTTTAGAAGTTTTTTAGATGTTGATGAACCTTTATTTTATTCATTAATTTATATATGGTGCTGAGAATCAAACCCAGCTCCTCACACATGCTAGGCAAGTGCTCTAACTCTGAGCTACAACCCCAGCCAGTTTTTAAAATTTATTATATTACAGATAGATTCTTAAGTATATTACTAGTACTTTAATACTGTATTCATTTTAGCCATTAAAAAAATGTTCAAGGTAAGCCTAACAGGTTCTCACTATATTACTTAGGGTCTTGCTAAATTGCTGGGGCTGGCTTTGAGCTTCAGATCCTCTTGTCTCAGCCTCCCTAGTCACTGCATTTATCTTGAACTTCTTCAGTATTTCAGTAAAACAGTTCCACAGATGATCTCGTACCTTTTCTTGCCCTTTAGATGAATTTTTCATGCAGGACACTGTTGTAGGTACCTAATTAATAATAACTATGATGAATGGTGAAGGGTATAGCACTTGGCTTTGAAAATAGATTTCTCAATGTCTTTTATATCACCTTGTAAATTGCATAGTGATAGGATTGACTTCGTTAGTTTTATAAATATTCTAATAAAAATGCATGTTAACATATATGTATAGTAGACACATGTGCACATAAATACTTTTGCTTCTGATTGCAATAAACACTTCAGTCATCCAAATAATTGGATTTTATAGCACTAATACTTTCTTTTTCAGGTGAAACTTCCACCAATGATGGAAATCATAACTGCTGAACAACTGATGGAATATTTAGGTTAGTGTTGAAGAGTGGATGATTTTATATGTCTTCCAAAATAAAACTAAGTTTTCAAAGCTGATATGTTACACATTTGCACCTTTACAAAGTGCTATATTATACACTGTTTTAAAATTATACTTTTGAATCTATTAATTAATTTTTTAACTAGTATGTTACTATTCTTAGATGTTATAGGCTTCTAACCAGCATTAAATTCTGCAAGGAGAATAGGTGATATCTAGAAAACAAGATGCATATAAAGTGTAATAAATTGCAGAATGGGAGATGACACAGAAACTCTGACATTGCGTGTAGAAGGTATTAAAAAAATATTGGATAGGCTTGGGTTAAAGATGAAGGAGGTAGACTGGAGATATAGGTCAGTGGTGGAACATTTACCAAGTATATTCAGGGTCCTGAGCTCAATCCCCAGCACCACAAAAAAATAAAAAATAAAGGCAAAGGGGATGCTTTAGGGTAGTGCTACTCAAAGTATGATTCATGATCCTGTGCCAGTTTATGAAGTATTAGTTCAGTCTCGAGTGAGATAGGAGCTTAAATCAGGATATAAAACATTTACATTAGTAAGTACACTTAATTCATCCAAAATATTTTTTATAGCAGAATTTTCTTGATGAAGGAATCAATGTATTGAATTGTATTTTTTCACAAGCTTATTTCTAATAAAGTTTGTAAACCAGTTGTATTGAGTTGGACTTGTTTAGAGAGTAGGAAGTTATACATCATACTGAGGTCTTTTAAAATTTTGGCAAATAATAATCTATATATGTATTTATACTATTGCCAAATAGGAAACCTTAAACCATATTTTTCCAGTTTTTTTTTTTTTTAGTAATTAAAATTTTATTTTTAAAAATATTGTCAGCTGATAATTTGGCTCCACCATACCAGATAATTAGCTAACTGTTTTTTTTTTTTTTTTTTTTTGGTAAGATATAGGCTTAGTAAAATAATTGGGATTGCAGTTTTGGAAGACCTTTTTCTTTATGTAATTCATATCATTTAATCCCTCCTCACTGGCTAGGGACCTCATGGTTATAGATAGAATACCTACTTATCTGCAAATAGACTGGATTTTTTTCCCTTTTATTTTTGTTTTTTATTTGGGGGCATGGTACTGCAAATTGAACCAGGGCACTTGGCCAATGAGCCACATCCCTAGCCATTTTTATTTTTTATTTTGAGACAGGGTCTCACTAAGTTGCTTAGGGTCTTGCTGATTTGCTGAGGCTGGCCTTGAACCTGTAATCTTCATATATCAACCTTCGGAGTTGTTGGGATTACAGGCATGCATCACAGGACCAGCTAACCTAAGTTATTGATCCTTATACTTAATGATTTCTAAATTATATATCATGGGGAAGACTCAATATGCTTGGTGCTTTGAGGAATATCCAGTGTGACTGCCAAGGAATGTGCAAAGGGAAGCTACTAGGAGATGAGATCGCACATGGAGTCAGATCACATAGGGTCCAGTAGCTGTTATAGAGGCTGACTTTTGCTGTGAGTGAGTTGGGAAACCATTAGAGGATTTTGAACAGAAGACTGATATGATCTGACTTTGGATTTAATGAGAATTCTCTAGCTCTTATGTTGAAAATAGACCTGGTGTAAGGACAGGAGCAGAGAGACCAATTAGGAAACTTACAACAAATGTGGTAGTAGCTTCAAACAAGGTGGAACTGGAGGTGGTAAGAAGTGGTGAAATTCTGACAGAATTTCCTGATCAGTCAGATGTGGAATGAAAATGGAGTCAAGGGTTACCCTGTGGTTTTTGGCTTGAACAGTGAGAAGGATGGAGTTGTCATCAACTGAAATAGAAAAAAATGGAAGGAGAAAGTTTAGGGAGGAGAAATATCAGGATGCTTATATTTGGTTATAAGATGCTTATTGACATTCAAATTGGAGACATCAGGAAGGCAATTGGATATATAAATCCAGAATTAGAGAAGAATTCTAGATCATTGCTGTATAATATAACTTTTTGTGATGATAGAAATGTTCTGTATATATGCTTTCTAGTTTGTACCCACTAGCCCACACATAGCCCTTGAACTCTTAAAAATGTATTTGATGTGCTGGGCACAGTGGCCCATGCCTATAATCCCAGCAACTCTGGTGGCTAAGGCAGGACAATAACAAGTCTGAGGCAAGCCTTGGCAACTTAGAGTAACTCTGTCTCAAAATACAAAATAAAAAGGTCTTGTGTGCATAGCTTACTATGGTACACTCAGTGGTAGAACACTCTCATATTCAATATTCAGTACCACACATACACACACACACACACACACACACACACAAATGTAGTTAATGTGACTGAGGAATGGATTTTTGGTTCTTTTTTTTTTTTTTTTGCAGTGCTAGGTATCAAACCCAGGACATTGCTTGTGTCAGGCAGGTACTCTACCACTGAGTTATACCCTTAACCCCTGAATCTTTAATTTTAGGTAATTTAATTTGTATAGAAACATGGTGCTCTTGGCTACTGTATTAGATAGTACAGGTCTAATCTGTAAATTATATATTTTAAGATAAGATATATAAACGGGAGATTGGGTGAGTTCCTAAAGGGAATGAATGTAGATAGAGAAGGGAAAAGATTAGTGGACTGAATCCAGGGCATGCCAGTGATTAGCCAAGAAGGAGAAAAATAGGAAATTGAGATTTCCTAAACTCCAAATGAAAAAGTGTTTCAAGGAAGAGTGAGAGATTAGGTAAATCTCAAATGCTGCTAATAGGTCAAGAGGGATGAATAATGTAAACTGACCACTGGTTTAGCCACAAGGATGTCACTGGTAGCTTTGTTAAGCATATGGAATGAAAACCTTACTGTAGAAAAGTGAAAAATTTAGACCTTCATACATAGACATAGAATATGTAATAATACAGATAGTTTGAAAGGATATAGCAAAATCCCATAAACAGAGTCATATACACAAGTACTGATAGCATAAAAGAATGAAATTGGTGCAAATAGGGCATTAATATTCAGAATATACCAAGAACTCAAAAAACCTAACACTAAAAAACAAAACAAATAACCCAGTCAATAAATGGGCAAAAGAACTAAACAAACACTTCTCAAAAGAAGAAATACAAATGGTCAAAAAGTACATGAAAAAATGTTCAACATCTCTAGTAATTAGGGAAATGCAAATCAAAACTACATTGAAATTTCATCTCACTCCACACTAGAAAAACTAGGGATAGTAGGAACATACCTCAACATTGTAAGAACTCTAAATGTTAATCCCAAGGCCAACATCATTCTAAATGGAGAAAAATTAAAAGCATTCTCTCTAAAAAACTGAAACAAGACAAGGATGCCCTCTTTCATCACTTCTATTTAACACAGAAACTCTAGCCAGAGCAATTAGGCAAAAGAAAGAAATTAAAGGAATACAAATAGGAAAAGAAGAGCTCAAGCTATCCCTGTTTGCCAAAGACATGATTCTATATTTAGAAGACCCTAAAACCTCAACCAGAAAACTCCTAGAACTCATAAAAGAATTTAGCAAAGTAGCAGGATATAAAATTAACAACCATAAATCAATTGTGTTTCAGTACACCAATGATGAATCAGCTGAAAGAGAAATTAGGGAATTTATCCCATTCACAATAGCCTCAAAAATAACAACAATGTGAGACTCAATCTAACAAAAGAGGTGAAAGACCTCTACAATGAAAACTATAGAGCAATAAAGAAATTGAAGAAGACCTTAGAAGATGGAAAAATCTGTGCTTATAGATAGGCAGAATTATTATTGCCAAAATGGCCATACTACCAAAAGTGCTATAAAGATTTAATATGCAATTCCTATTAAAATTTCAATGCCATTCTATTATAGAAATAGAAAAGGCAGTCAAGCAATTCATTTGGAAAAATAAGAGAACCAGAACAAAGCACTCCTTAGTGAGAAAAGTGAAGCAAGAGGCATCACAATACCAGACTTTAAATTATACTACAGAGCTGTGGTAATAAAAATGGCATGTTATTGGCAACAAAACAGACATGAAGGCCAAAGGTACAGAATAGAAGACACATAAATACAGTTATCTCATATTAGAACAAGGCACCAAAAACATACATTGGAGAAAAGATATCCTCTTCAACAAATGGTGCTGAGAAAACTGGAAATCAATATGTAGCAGAATGAAATTTAACCTCTACTTCTCACCCTGCACAAAACTCAAAAGTGGATCAAAGACCTAGGTATTAGACCAGAGACCCTGCACCTACTGGAAGAAAATGTAAGCCCAACTCTCAATTATGTCGGTTTAGAACTAAGTTTCCTCGGGTCTTTGTCCGCGGGTCAGGACGGTCTCTTGGTCCACGAGGCGCGCAGGACTCTCTCTAAAGTAGATTTCTTCAAGAGGAATTGCCCAGTGCAGGTGATAAAGAGACCAAACTGTATGATCCTCCACTGAAGCAAGAAGATCCACTGGATGGTGGGGAAAAAGTAGAAAAGAAGTCTTGTCAGAAAAAGTCTGAGAAGATGATGAACAGATAGAGAAGCAACAAGACTTGGGAGGCAAGTTGTGTTCATCAAACTACAGACTGAGGAAAAAAGGATGTGGATATAAGAAAATTGGAAAAAATCCTGTTTGCTCAACCTCATTTCTTTAAGGAAACATTTTTGAAGTTTTAGGTTGAAACTGTTTAGACTTAACCATGAGGGAAGGTATGTAGTTGAGTCTCCAATTTTACTAGCTGGATGTTCTCTACCACTGCTTATTTCCTATGGTAATATCCCCCTATAAGTGTAAAGCAGTGTGAAATGCCTTCAGTATAAAAAGTGTGATATAGCATCTGATAGCAGAGCATTCATACTGGAGGAAAACCTTATGAGTTTACTGAATGTGGGAAAACTTTTACCTACATATCACATTTCATTGAACATAGAAGTCATGCTGAAGGGAAACCTTGTGCTTCTAAAGAGTATTGAAAAGCCTTTAGCTAGATGATAAAATTTTCTCACAAATCTTATCCA